GTTTTGCAATGGAGTCACAAGGTTCACGATCAAAAATGAAAGCTTTTAATACTTTTTATCTGATGGTGACAGGTTTCATCGTTTATTTTGTATAGATTTTGTATATTAAAATATCTAATCTCCTTAAAATATCTCCTCAAAATTGAATACTCTATTCTTAATGGCTGTTTTGACTGGCAAAGGGTGGTCTCTGACTTTTGCACAGCACTCTACCTAGAGACTGTCACCACAGCGTTTGGTGCATAGAAGAACGAGCGACCTTTGTTAACACATCGAAAGCTCCCCGCTAACAGGAAGGCGCACAGCGAGCCTTGTCGCTCTGAAAGCAGGAACAGTTGAAAACCACTACTGTGAGGCCTGCCAAAACAGGGGGCTTTGTCCATACAGTTGCCATGGCGACTGTATCTCTGATGACCAGGACTCCAAAACCTGTTCCTTCCCTTAGTGGCACTTTGGTAACACATGCATTCAAGAATGTATGCACACGCACAGTGCCTTAGCGTCCTTGAGCTCCCTCCTGCAGCTGTCCGCGTCCTGCCCGCAGAGGGGACACTTCCTGGCTGGCTCCTGCCCTCCCGCGGGACTTCCTACAGTAGACTGGAGGGCATCCTACAGGAAGTGACCTCGTTTCCTGCACTGGGATGCATTACGCCTGATCCTAAAGGTAAACCATGCTTGCGGAAAACCGTGCAGCTTCAGAAACTGAGCATCAACAGAACAAACAAATCCTTCCAGTCACAACCCATAAAAACTCCTACACTTCTGCTGCAGTTTATTCTCAAGGTTATTCAAGGTTTCTTCTTTTTATTTTATGCAGTGTAAAGGTCTCCTAATTAGTAAAGTCAGCTTTCACTTCTGTAATGACAGGGGATCAAACTCAGTTCCTCCATGCTATAAACAAGTGAATTAACACTGGAGAAAGCAAAGTGCGCAATGCTTTTATATTTGACCCAACCATACTTCCCTTCTAAGACTTGTTTATAAGTAAGCTTCCAGCTAGTAACAATGTCACAATACGAACGGTAAACCACATCGCACAGGTAAACCGCGCTGCAGCATGAACAGGAAGCAACTCCTGGCCATTGTAGAAAAGACTAGAAGAAAAGCCGTCACTTCTCATTGCTCTGGCGCAATGCTTGCATACCTATGGTCGTTAAGCATTATTACCTGCTGTTAATGTTCCATGCAAAAACACTTTATTAACTCAATAATTTTCATTTAGGTGATCACTGATCCATGTAGTTTAATCCAGTATAAATCTGCAATGTGTGGTTTTTACATTTGAATTTAACTTTTTTGAATTTAAATTTTAATCCAGTATGAATTTGCAGAGAGCTGTTTTTACAGTCCTTCAATAATAATTGTGGAGTGATTTTAATCCAGCATGAATCTGCAGTGTGTGTAGTTTTTACAGTCTGACAGTAATAATTGTGGAGTGATTTTAATCCAGTGTGAATCTGCAGTGTGTGTAGTTTTTACAATCTGACACTAATAACTTTGGCGTGATTTTAATCCAGTGTGAATCTGCAGTGTGTGTAGTTTTTACAATCTGACACTAATAACTTTGGCGTGATTTTAATCCAGTATGAATCTGCAGTGTGTGTAGTTTTTACTGTCTGACAATAACTGTGGAGTTTAATTTGATGAACCTGTCCCGATGCAAACATCCTGGCTATGACCTTTCAGGCTTTATCTCATGCTAATCAGCCAGAGGCCAACACCTACCCATTACATTCCTCAAACTCATCTGCTAAAATCTTTTGAATGCCACCAACTGATGAGGATAAAATTCATTCTTTTCGGTTTGTTTATAAAAGAGCTCCTGGCCCTTCATATAGCCACAAAAAGGGGCTAAGAATGTTCAGATCAAAGGCTGATAGACAAGTTGGTTCAATGAGTAACTCAGCCTCTCACAAACAGCAGCAGACATGTATTTCCTTTATTAAAATGCATTCTATATTTGCCTGAATTTCTCTCCAACTCTCAATAGCCCCAACAGTATAGCACACATTGCGAGTCTTTCTCTCAGCACTTTGCCAGATTTTGTTCTCACTAGATAAAAGATCACATAGATTATTCGATTATTTAAATATTTAAACACTAGATAGCTCAAATAGCATTTAAATAACTGACTCACTCCTGCTTCTGGCAGTGTCTTAGCTCAAGGACATTGCTGGACTCCAGCCATTTTTGTACCAGTAAACATTTTCAAGTGGACAGTAAAGCACTTCTGTAAGTCACTCTGCAAAACAACATCTACTAAATGTAAAGGTAAATAAAGACAGTCTTCATGATGATGTAAAATCAAAGTAAGTATAAATGTGGAGCGATTAAGAACAAATTAATTCAGCTGCTATTCTCCCTTCTCTACTGTTCTGCTCAGATGGCGAAGAAAGCTGAACTGGCCTAGTAGAACTGACATGTCAGTGACACCCCCGTCTCTGTGGTTCACACCAGACATGTTTGACTGATGATTCAGTGATAGCTCTCTGCTGACCAAGGCTTAGAGCTCTTTCTTAACCACACATACCATAACGAGTCTAGCTATACTTAAAAACCAAGGTTCAAATATATAACTGTTAAAGATCCAGTAGGGGTGATTACTGTGATAAATAGAGTCACGATTCACTTTTCAGAGCATATCATGGCAGTGGTCAGTCCCTGAACACTCAACAACTGCCTGCATCAGACTAATTATGAAGAGCCTTTAAATAGTCATAACCAGTGTACAGTAACAAGTTGTTTGAGGTTCAGCTTATAATACCTTTATCTTATTATATTCATTCATCTTTAACAACTAATTTTTCCTCCTGGTACTTCTTAACGCTTTATTTTATACTCAGAGGTTTATAGCCTTTTTTGTTTGGTGGTGTATTTTGTCTATTCCTACTTCTTTGCACTGTCAGACAGGGTAAATATAGTGATATATATATGTGTATTGTGGAAACGTCTGCAGTTTCACTCGTCCTTACATATAAGCACAATCTATTTCCATACTTTCAACCCCAATGTTATAGGAATGGTTCACATTATTCACCTTCCAATACAAAACAACACAACTTAGTAGGGTTTCAGTATAACACAAAATGCGTAACATCACAAAGTCTTAGACAGAAATAAAAGCACAAGCAAAGAAAGGAAGACGGCAACTAAAGCACTGCTTTGAATACTAAGCAGCTCTTGTTAAGGTATTTCACAAGTAAAAGGGTTTCTTGAGTGTCAGTGCAGGTGTAAGCAAACCTAATTTGCGATAAAATCCTTATGATGGTGAGCATGAGCTGCCGAGGTCTCGGCACGGCAGCTGCTCTCTCTGCAGGTTTGGGCCGTAATTAGGGAAGATAGGAGAGCCTGAGCTCCCAGGATATCTGGATAGTCATTAAAGGAGCGTGTGTGTGGGTCTGGGCGGGTGGGAGGATGAGCTGAGGCAAAAGCTGACCTGGTCCTTCTTTAATAACCTTTAGATTCATGGATGACTGTATGACTGACTAATGACCGTCTGTTTGCGTGTTGTTTCGTACAACGGTTTGTTAAATGTTTGTCTTGAAAACAACATGAATAAAACTATATAGTCCATACGGTGTATACTATACTATTTAAAGCATTTATATATGCACACACACACACACACACACACACACACACACACACACACACACTTTATTAGTTATTACTCATTTTGTGGGCACCTAATAAAGTGTGTGGACACTCTTTGTACATTTTATCATCTCTACTTACCTTATAGGTGCAGTTTGTAGTTCATATAGTTCACATAGACATACACACACACACACATATATATATATATACATATATATATATATATATATATACACACACACACACACACACACACACCCTAAATTTCAGCTTGTAAAAATAATACTTAAACTTTTTTGCATTTTTTGACAATGTTTTTTTTTAATTTCTTTTAAAGTGAAGTTGAAAGATTTATCATGAATTTTTTAAGCAAAAAATGCTGTTTTCATGTCACTCCCGAAACACAAACAGTTTCAGTCCATGGGTGGAGCCTTATTTTAGCCATGCCCCTGCATTTTAGAGTAGGAATTGAGACCTCGTGGCCACATGGTGAGCAGTTAGATCCCATAGTTTTGAAGCAAATGTGCCCCAAAGTCTGAAAATCAGTGTGTAACATTAAGAACTGTCACTACTGAAACACATTTATCCTGCAATGAAGTAAGACTTTTTGTGTTTTAATGAAAAATATTAGGATTTTGCATGCATACAAATGCTCAAAGCTGTGCTTGCTAGTCATGTACTAGATAGCAGTTTTGAGTTATGCTCTAAAATTGTCACTACCGAAACAGTCCATTCATTCATGGCATCTTTTACATCTAGTTTACGTCTACTAAGGTATGCTCAGTTCGATTTTCAGCATGTTTGTCCATAATAATTTCTTAAAATAAATAAATAAATAATAATAAAAAAAATACTATATCTTGGTTCAACTATTATACATGACATTGACGTCCAAAACAATAAACAGACCAGAACATGCTAATTAGGAGCTTTATGTGCACATTCAGGTCTGTGTACCAAATTTCTCTCTAATCATAGGCTGCAGCAAAACACTGGGGGCTACTTTTCCTGACATGGATCCGTCCTGGCCTTGGATCGAATTACTCTCTTAACTGTGATCCTCTGAAAATGATTCATAGCTGAGGATTAGGCTTAATCTGTGTCCAGAAAAACAGGGCCCTGATGACCCCACACATCAAACGCTCATGCTAGTCTTGCTACATCCCCATAATTCCTTGTTTATTAAACAAAAAGATGAAAATATGCTCAGTGCTCAGTGCTTCTCGACTGGTAAAGGCTTTTTAAGGGTCTGATCTAATGGAGGCTAACTGAATCTAACTGTCTACTTGTGAAAGTAGTGTCACCTGAGCTGCGTGGGAAAATGTGAGTTGCTACTTTGACAGGTTCCCTTCAGTGAGTGATATAAAGAGCGAAAAGGCCGCAGAGTCGACTCGCACACTCACCCGCACTAGTGTAGGAGCCATACAGGAACACACGGTCCGCACGTGCTTCAAACACTTCTCGTGAGACATCAAGTTACACACTACGGAGAGACACACAGGAGAGAGAAAGAGACTGTTAGTTTTCTCACATACACACCCATCAGCACACGTTAAACAGGCGCAGGTCGAGAGAGAGAGTGGTTCACGCTAGTGCGAAAACAAGAACGCCTCTATTAACACTGACTCACAAAATTTACAGCTGTTCTGACAAGCTGGGCAGAAATTCTAGTGGGTAGGTGGTAAGGATGCGCTTTCTGAATAGAGCTGAATGACTGAAGATGCACTGATAGGGGAACTGTGAGCTGATGGCAACAATCAATACTTTTCGTCTTTTCATGTACGTTTTAGGGCTAAACGATTTGGGGAAATGGGCCGATATCTTTCCGGTATCAATATCAAAAAAGATAAAATTGTTTAACCTCTTATTGACCAGGGTATATTTTGGTTTGTCCATCTGAATTTACATGACCAAATCGTAAGGCAAATTATTCAGTAACTGCATGAAATAAATGTACATTTTTATTTATTTTTTTGTAAAAGCTCCCCTCAAATTAACAAAAAATGTGTTTTATGATCATACTTATATTGCTATATGCTTACAATTTACTGCTGAAAGCCAAAAATCTTAGACGCTCTTTGTATTATTTTATAAAAATCATTTGTACAGAGCAGATCACTGAAGAGACGCCATCTGTTTATAGTTTATAGCCCAGATTTGTGGAAAAATGGGTCGACTTTCAGTAGAAAAAAAAATTGTGAGTTCAGCTTCTTTTATTATTAGGGTTTAAAATTACATCACCCATCTATTTGACTGGAAAGAAGACAGTTACAGCTCTCATATGACACCCACCTCTTGAATGTAGCTTATGAAATATGAAAGTTATTAAGAATATGACAAAGTGCGTTTTGGAACCACCGGTGGTCTCAAGGAGTTGAAAATGTTAATTATTATTAAGCGCTTAAATAACAGCAATGCATGATATAATTATAAAGGATTACTTATTTTAATTGTTTGATAAATATGTCGCTGTTGTCGGAAGAAAACCTCATATCTCCAAAACGAAAACTTTACAGGAGAAGGAAAAAAATCTACTTTACTTTTAATATAAGACAATGGAACCAGACTTTTTTCCAAGTCATTTTGGACCACCTCACTTTCATGAAATTTACACACAATATAAAGGACAACATATATCATTTTTTGACCAAAAATGCTCACAGGGACATATGTATGCTCATATACACCAAAAGAAACTCATCTGAATCATGCATGATTTGTCAAAACGCTCCCAGCAATCAATTTTCTAATTGGTTAGAGGGCTCATTTGCATACTACAGCCTTCTACGATGTCAATATTGCAAAGGGAATCATCACCACAATGATTAACAAACAATACATGGATGAGCTGTAACAGGTAAGAGGCTGAAGTCGTTTTAAATGCGTTTGAAACCACGCAGCCTTTCCTCCTGTGCATAAACATCATGTTTCATTTCAGTTTCCATAGCAGTTCTCTAGAAAAGCGTTTTGGGAGCAGTTCAGGTTTGCGGGCAGTGTGGTCACTACATGAAACCAAGAAAAAACATTGTTTTGCTCTTTTCATATCACAATGAGTTACTAATGCAACACATATGGTATTACAAGTAGAGCTGGTTTGAAAACCTATTATGATGTCATTTAAACATTTAAAATACACATTTAAATTAAAGTATTATACTGATATTTTTTTACTGTTCATATTTCTTTACAACCCCATAGAAATCAACTACAATACAAAACACATATGAAATTATAACCAGAGCTCCTGCTATTTCATCTTCAGATTATAAATAAGCATATCACTGCTGTTGGAACAAAACCTTGGATCTCCAAAATGGCAACTTTACAGGAGAAGGAAATAACATACTTTACTTTTAATGTAAGTCAATGGAACCAGAATTTTTTCCAAGTCATTTTTGGTTATTTCTTTTGGTCCATTCATCATGAAATTTACATACAATGTGAAGGTCAACAGACATTTTCAAATTATGTCAAAAACTGAAAATTGACAAAAACAGAGATGCGAGGTTTTGTTCCGACAACAGCGATATGTTGTCCCAATGTGTGGTTTGCAGGGAGACAACAGCAGTAGGCTATTTACTTCCACCATCACCCCTTTAAAAAGACAGCAAAATGTACAGTTATCAGAATTATTACAGTCTGAAACAGCATGTTTGTCATTGGGTTTTGCATAATCTCTATGACATTAGTATGACACCATGCTGAGCTCAATGACAGGCAGCAGCACTGCTAAACTTTCCCGGAGAGTTACTAAATCCATCATACACATCTGCTGGGTCAGTGTCAGCACTTCTCTGACTGACCCGACTAACTGCCCACACCCAACAGCATACACTCAAGCACGCATGCATGCCTTCCTGCATTCATATAGGCACACACACATACAGGTTTGGTTTTCCACAGGACATAGGGGTACACACTTGGCCCTTAGGAGTTAACTACAGTACTGGGCAAAAGGCATATAAGTAAACTGTTTAAAATCATTTATCTAGGGAGTTTGTGTGTATTTGCTCCAAAAAACCACTAAACATCATTAGAATATAAGCAAACAAACACTAATGCAGTACAAACTAACACGGATTTCTTGTTCTCAAAAACTACTGAGTTATCTGATTTAAACTTAGCAGATAAAGAGTAATTAAAGTGTGCAGAAGTGTGTTCTCTGTAGGGGAGGAGTTAACTTATTTTCACTTAGAAAATCAACAAAATATGTCCAGGCAAGCCCAAATAATAACAATCACAATAATAATATGCCCCATATTCCATGTGTAATATCGTACTTTCATGCAAATACCATGTATCTCCATTTTTACCAGTTTTACTTTTTTGCGTTATCCGAAAACTCGAGTTACCCTTCGCATTGTGTTGAAATTTCATGATGAACGGACCAACAGAAGTGGTCCAAAAATAAAAAAATAACATTAACTTCATTAAAGGTGAAGAACGTTTTTTCCTTCTGTAAAAGTTACCATTTTGGAGATACAAGGTTTAGTCCTGACAGTCACAATATGGAAGTACGAAAGTAAAAGACATAGAAATTTAATTTAGTTTAAGTTTAAACCTAACTATAAATGAGTTTGTCTGCTAAGTTGGAGCTTTGGGGGAAAAATATATTCACAAAATCATGACAACATTGTTGGTCCTGTAGTTTGGCCAAGCGTTTCTTAGTTTTTACTGCCAAATCTGGGTATTTCTGTCTCCAAAATGTATGAAAACAAGCACACAAACACACGGTGTGTACAGTGTAGGGCGCTGACACAGTCACAGGTTTTGTGTCCTCTTCTGTGACAGGAAGTGGGCTTGAGCTGCTCTCAGTATCGCAGTGTCCACGAGAAGTGTGATCAACGTACAGAAAAAGAGGCGGAAAAAACACCACGCTGAGGTGCTAAACTTGTTGCTAAACTTTTGAGGGCTGGAGATTACTTCACAAATCAGAAATACTCAGTTAGCCGGGTAACTCAGACCCAAAGAGAGGATTAACCACTGGGAACGTCCCTGACCACTTCTCCTTATGAACAAGCCTGACTTTGGGCTTAATTTATCTAACTTGCTAAGAAAATCCTGCACTGTGAAACACCATTTAGTTCACTGGGTACTGGTTATCAGTTTCCCTCTAACATTATAAAGGTGAAGCTTTGTATTTCATCTGCTTTTACACAACTGATTCAACTCTTTAGCTAACTATCAACCCTGTTGTGAGTGACTGCACAACAGAAACAGCTATAAACATTGCAATCTTGTTGCCCGCTAAGGTTGTGAACAATTTCAATGGGCAACAACTGCCAGCGGTGCGATTAAGACGAAACCCACTGCTCTCTTTTCAAACCACCATCATGTCACTTTCTGTTTGTGGTAAAGCATGCGAAGCAACGTAGGTCTGTTTTACAGGAAACGGGCTGTATTACTTGAATCTCAGGACTTGATAAATGGGAGCGTCACACAACCATACTTAAACTTGAGTGGTCACTTTGCTCCTACTCTGTAGTTTCACTCTGATTTTCCTCCATGTTAACATTTTTATCCACTTCCTTCTGGATTTAAGAAGTTGAGGTGGTTGAAAATGTCAAAAAAAAAGAGTTGTCAGTGCTTGGAATAAAAACTGGAAACAAAGAATTTTGCTCACAGACCACTAGTAGCACCCTAAGCCCACTGATAACATTACAAACTGTGGGCCAGATTGAAACCATGAGGAGAAAAAAAGAGAAATCTCACAAGCTTCATAATAGGTGTACTAAATAACGCTAAATAAAAAGAGAATTCAATAGTTTATTTACTAAAACTAACATCTCCATGACCAGGATCTTTCAACTATTGTCCATTGTGGTGTAGCAGGTGCTTTTCTCCATGTGACCTTCACCTGATGTCTAATGAAGCAATAAAGTTCAATCACACAGCTGACCTAACTTCACAGTTCCCTCTCAAAAGCATGAAACAGAAGCTATTCAACATTTAGTGATATGATTGGTATAGAAGTTGAGCTCTTAGAACACACATCATTAGAATATATGCCAACAAACACTAATGCAGTAAAAATGAACAAGAATTTGTTTGAAAAATAGCACTTTATTTGTAGATGATTAATAAACTCTTAACAGAGTATCAGTAACACGTCAACAACATAGTGTAGTAACAGTAGTGAAGCATCTGAATACACTGAAGTAAATATCTTGTAGACGTTCTGTTGATACATTACTTACATTAAGTAGATGTTAATATGTTATTTCCATTACACAAAACCTAACCTTACCAACCTTACCAACACCTGACCCTCACCCTGGCCTTAATCCTAACCCTAATCTTAACCTCAACCCAAAACCTAATCCTAACCCTGGCTCTAATCCTAACCCCAACCTCAACCCAAAACCTAATCCTAACCCTGGCCCTAATCCTAACCCCAACCTCAACCCAAAACCCAATCCTAACCCTGGCCCTAATCCTAACCCCAACCTCAACCCAAAACCTAATCCTAACCCTGGCCCTAAT